TTCCTTCCTTTTATTAACTTTAGGCTTAGTGTGTTCCTCTTTTTCTAGTTTCTTGAAGTGTAAAGATAGATGGTTTATTTGAGATCTTTGTAATTTTTTGTTGCTATAAACTTCCTCTCAGAACTGCTTTTGCTGCAACCCACAATATTTGGTATGTTGTAATTTCATTTTCCCTTGTTTGAGATCATTATTTACATCCCTTTTGATTTCCTCTTTGACCTATTGGTTGTGCTACCAAATTCAGACTTGTCCATCACTCAATGCCCAATAAGCCAATGTCTAAGACACCAGTTTTGAAGCAAAGAAAGCTTCATCATCACAAGGAAAGCCCATTGAGAAGGTTGGCTATCTTTCCCAAAGCTGCATTGCCCTCTGAAGCCGAGGGACAGCTTATATATGTTTGGGGAAGGAGGTGAATACATGAGAGGGGGGTGAGGAAACCTCAAAAGGGTAGCCCTTCAAACATCTGGAGCTCTGCATTTTTCTGGAAGTTGAAGCATCATTCAGGACCTGGAATGATCAGGTATATCAGATAATTTGAAGACAAATGTGTCTTTCAACTCCCCATTAGGTTTCTATAATCAGTGGGTAAACAGAGAGTAGGGGTAAAAAGCAAAGTTAATGATTGATCATGCATGAGGTTAAGAGGTGCATAACACACAATTAATATGGAATAAAACATGACATACAGCTAAGGTAATAATGCAACCAATACAATACAGTTCTGCATATGCTTTCGAAACAAGTCCAGGAACCATGCATCTGGCCTCAGTTGTTTAGAATTGTGTAGTCTATTTTCCACATATTTTTAGGTCTGCTCAGTTTCCTCTTGTTCATTTCTACTTTCATACCATCTTGGTCAGAGAAGTTGGTTGATATGATTTCAATCTTCTTAAATTTGCTAAAATTTCTGTGCTCCATCATATGATCTATCCTGGAGAATGTTCCATGTGCATGTGAGAAGACTATGTATTCCTCTGCTGTTGGATGGAATGTTCTGTAAATGTCTGTCATTTGTTCTAAAGTGTGGTTTCATTCCAGTGTTTCCTTGCTGATTTCATGTGTGGACGATCCATCCATTGTTGACAGTGGGATATTGAGGTCCCGTAGTATCCCTGGATTGTTGTCTATTTCTCCCTTAAGATCTGTATTTGTTTAATGTATTTCAATACTCAGGTGTTGGGAGCATATATATTTACAACTGTTAACATCTTCTTAATGAATTGATCTGGTTATTAGTATACAATGACTTTCTTTGTATTTTATCATTTTTGGCTTGAAGTCTATCTTGTCTGATATAAGTATGGCTACACCTGCTCTCTTTTTGGTACCATTAGCTTGGGTTATCATCATCCATCCCTGCACTGTAAACCTACGTGTCCAGTGCTCCCTCCTTAATACCCATCACTGGGCTAAGCCATCCCTCCACCCCCCTCCCCTCTAAAACCCTCAGTTTGTTTCTCAGAGTCCATAGTTTCTTATGGTTCATCTCTTCCTCCAATTTCCCCTCCTTCATTTTTCCCTTCCTTCTTACACTGTTGGTGGGAATGCAAGTTGGTACAACCACTTTGGAAAACAGTGTGGAGGTGCCTCAAAAAATTAAAAATAGAGCTACCCTATGACCCAGCAATTGCACTCCTGGGTATTTACCCCAAAGACACAGATGTAGTGAAAAGAAGGGCCATATGCACCCCAATGTTCCTAGCAGCAATGTCCGCAATAGCCAAACTGTGGAAAGAGCTGAGATGCCCTTCAACCGATGAATGGATAAAAAAGATGTGGTCCATTTATACAATGGAATATTACTCAGCCATCAGAAAGGATGAATACCCAACTTTCACATCAACATGGATGGGACTGGAGGAGATTATGCTAAGTGAAATAAGTCAAGTAGAGAAAGTCAATTATCATATGGTTTCACTTATTTGTGGAACATAAGGAATAGCATGGAGGACATTAGGAGAAGGCAGATAACACTTTTTTAATAACAATCTGTCCCCTTCTCCTTCTCTTCTCCTTCTGGTCTACCCATTATTCTTAATTGGCTCTCCTAATGGAGACTCGTAGCTTTTGCAGGATTTCTTCATTTTTTAAGCTTGTTTTTTATTTTAAGTAATCTCTACACCCAAAGTGTGGCTTGAGGTCACAACCCAGAGATCAAGAGTCAGATGCCTCACTGATGGAAGCAGCCAGGCGCCCCAGGGTTTCTTCACTTTTTAAAAAAAAAATCATAGTTCTCTCCACTTCCACCTGAATCATTTCTAGATTCCATCTTTCTAATCGTGTGTTCTCCCTTCCACCTGATCTGCTCTATTTCCAATGTTTCTAATGCATTCTTCATCTCATTTACTGAGTTCTCCAGCTCCAGAATTGCTGTTTGGTTCTTTTTTAAAATTTCAGTCTCTTTGGTAAAATATTCCTTCTGTCCATTCATTTTATTTCTGAGTTCACTGAATTGCCTGATTTTCTTGTATCTTGTTGAATTCTGTTATGACAGCTATTTTGAATTCTCTATTACTTAGATCACAATCTTCTGTAAATGTAGGTTTGGTGGCTGGAGAATGGTTATTTTCCTTTAGCAAAATCATATCACCATGATTTTTCATTCTCTTTAATGAGATTTTCCTCTGCCAGATCATTTGAAGTAGCCAACACCTTTTGCATGTAAGTAAGTAAAGATTTGCTAACTTTAATTCTAACACTCCACAGGTGGGCAGTTAGAGGCCCTTCTTTAGTATTCCAGCAGGTGGCAGAATAGCACAAGTTTTTGGCTTCTCTTACCAGAGCAGCCGTGGTAGCTATTTAGACCAGGCTCAAAAAAACAAAAACAAAAAAGTGGGAGGCTGGCAACCCAGTAAGGGCAGTATGTACTCAGCCCTTGGGCTTTGGGTGTGCCCCACACTCCAGGAGGAGGATCCTCAAGTTCGGGAGTCCCAGTGGTGCTGGGTGTTCTCTTGCTGAACTCTCAGGGCAGACAGTGCATAAAGTGTTTCTTCTTGTGTGCCTCCTTCCCTTGCCTTTCCCTTCCCCCCTCCACTCCCACAAAGTCACAGATGCCCTGCCTCAGAGGACCCTGCTCTGTGGCTTCATAACTATAGGGTCCTCCAGCTGCAGCCCACAGGGCCAGGTAGTCTTTCACTCACCCCTCTCCACCCCCACCCTCTCTCCCAGAGGAGTCACGGGCAGGTGTTGCCACCACTGTAGAAACCAGGGTAACAGGCCCCACCACTCCTGCCTGGGCTCTGGTCTCCATGAGGCCCAATCCACACACTGTCAGTTATAAACATGCATGGATCTCTTCAGCGTCTGGTGTGCTATGTAGAGGAAACTCTGTTGGATTTTGGAATCCTAGTAGTTGTAAATGGAAACGGGAAGACAAATGGAAGGATTCATTCTGCCATGATGCTGACCTCACTCCTCCCAAGAGGAATTACATGGGCAACTGGTCCACTTGTTTCAAAAGATTCCTCTTATTTGTGTGGATAATTCATATCACATCCATGCATTCCTTTCCTGTCCATTTCAAAGGAAATATGCCCATAGCCCATCCAAAAGTAATCCAGTGTCACAAAGCCACAAGCCATATGGAAGGAGGAGATGAACATGTCAGATAATATATTAACGTACACTTCAGTTTAGATGTTCATATCAGTCAGTGTCCAGTCAGGAGGCAGAAACCACATCAGTCATTTTAACAGGGGAACTGTGATATAAAGATTTATTAAGCAAAAGGTGTTTAACTATGAAAGAGGTAAAAGAAAGCTCTAAGGAAACCAGAAGGAGTCACAGGAAGCAGACACTACCTCCAGGGCTGAGGTAGAGCACCCAAAGGAAGACATTTGAGAGAATAAGACTGACATTCTGTTTGTTGGAGAAGATGGGACCAGGGTCCCCAGGTAGGAAAGAAATTCACCCCACAAGCCACAGGCCAAGCCTGCTGAGCAGGAAAACTCCCAAGATTCCCTGGGAAGCAGCCCTCTAGATCACAGCCTGCTGCAATGCCATACTCATTCACCCAAAGGTGAGAGAAGCTAGGCCTTCTCCAGGCCACTGGCAGTAACATCATAGGATCAAGGGGAAAAAAACACCAAAAGTGGGGCGCCTGGGTGGCTCAGTCGGTTAAGCATCTGCCTTTGGCTCAAGTCACGATCCCAGGGTCCTGGGATCGAGTCCCTCATTGGGCTCCTTGCTCGGCGGGGAGCCTGCTTTGCCCTCTGCCTGCCGCTCCCCCTGCTTGTGCACACTGACAATTAAATAAATAAAATGTTTTTTAAAAAAACACCAAAGGAAGAAGAAAGCACTACACTCCCCTGCCACATCTTGCTGTGTTCTCTGTGGTGCACTATAGGAATTCACAGTGCCTGGATAGACAAAATCTGACTTGTATATGCCTCCCTGGATGAGACTAATTGAAAAACGAAGGAGGAGTGCCCGGAACGCTGGGCCCCCTTTGAAGTTTCTTGGCTGAAAGCAGCCAGATTCTCACTGTGGCTCAAGGTTCTCATCTAGGGAGTAAATGTTTAAATTTTGAAGAAAGGCACCTGTGGTGGTCATGTACTTCAGGAACTCCTTGCCTCCTTGCCCTTATCACACACCGCTCCATATACTATTATCCTGATCATTAAGGTTACACTTTCCTTGTTTTGCCCTTGCACGTGGTGTATTGATAAGACCCCAATAAAAGTGGAGACAAAGCTTGGCTTGGGGCCTTTCACCACAAGAGCATCTGGTCCCCAGGCATCTCCTTTCTCCTACGAAGGTGTCTGGAGTAATTTTTTTCATTCGCCATCTCAGGGTTTGCTGGCCAAACCCGACAGTGCACTGACTGACAAAGGCTAACAAGAGAGCCACATGGCAGAAATGAAACGTTTATGACATCCAGCTCCAGTATCAACAAGTAGGGCAAATGCAGGGTAGATTTGAATCAAAGGCAATGAACTGAAAATGAGCACAGTCCACATCTTTAGATCCTCAGCTTCCACATACACCATTTTATTCACACTGGAACTTCCATATAACAACACAACAACTCCACATTTTTACTCATCTACAGAGCTACACTTACAAGTGAAAAAGTTCTCACTCTTTCCCCAAAATGGAAGAGACAGGCAGTGCCAGGCATTGAATCGACCAGTTATATTATTTATTCCTTAAGTCCAGCCACAATCATTGGACTACTCTCTTACTTAGAGACTGTATTTTAAATATCACCACTGACAACTTGAATAAAATCACACTGGTAAGAAGAAGGGAGAAAGAAAATAGATAATTAATACAAATGACATATCTACATGACAAGAAAGAGAAAATATGCAAAGCTACTACAGTCCATTTCCTATTTTTGGTCACAGGCAGGAACTGAGATTTGTGACTTCCTTCTTCCACTTCCAACTCTGTGTCTTATCTCTCCCAGAATCAGGGCAGGTTGGAGTTCTCTACCTCAGGAGTGAACACACCTTCATTCCTGGAGGTCTGAGTCCTCAATAGTCTGGCTTCCTGTTGTTTCCTGTGGTTTCTATCCACCTTTACAATTGGACTTGGAAATACTGAGAAGCAGTACATAGATCCTGGAACTGTGCTCATGATGAAAGCTTTCTGCAATTAACCCAGGGTCTGAAAATGCTCTTTTTCATTCACATCTTTATTCTGGTAGCAGTTCTCTTCTCTCCAACTGTGTTGACACACAATGGAACCCAAATTCTCATCCTCCAGTCACTGAATTAATGCAGCACTAGTATTTCACAAATAACAGATATTTATGAAGGTTTGGTAAGATAAGTATGTTTTGTCCATCCCAGAATAGGAAGCATATACAAAAGAATACTACACTCCACTCCTCTTAAAGTCCATCAGCCATCGGGGCGCCTGGGTGGCTCAGTTGGTTAAGCGACTGCCTTTGGCTCAGGTCATGATCCTGGAGTCCCTGGATCGAGTCCTGCATCGGGCTCCCTGCTCGGTGGGGAGTCTGCTTCTCCCTCTGACCCTCCCCCCTCTCATGTGCTCTCTCTCTCCTCTCATCCCCTCTCTCAAATAAATAAATTTTAAAAATCTTTAAAAAAAAAAAAGTCCATCAGCCATCCATTTATTCAGAAATTTTTGGATGGCCAAAGTCTCTAGTCAGAGGGCACACTTCCCAAAATAGAGCTGGTGACCCACCCCATAGCCTCTGGGTTCGTCTGCACAATTTAAAATTCTGCATAAAATAAACACCATTTAATTCTTCAGAGTAATTCAGACCTCATCTCATTTCATATCAAAACAATACAAAGACTCCATGAAATAATTTTCATGACCAAAAGAAACATAACTTCCAATAGCAAAATTCAGCCTACCCCATATCAGCTCAGTCAACATTTATCTTCTAATACCTGAGCATAAGGCATGAACTGACTATTCTCATAACCACACCCCAGCAGTCTGCACCCAGAAGAGGACAGGGAGACACCAAGTCAGCCAGAACTAACCTCAGAGGCTATTACCCCAGGGAGTCTGCAGCGCCAGGAAGAGCCACCATGAGGAGTCTGGGACAGTGTTGGGACTCTATGGGAACATAGCCTCAGGGTTGCAGGGGAGTAATGGAGATTCAGCCCCTGGGGGAGCACCATCAACACAAGAGACTGAGCTGAATCCCACCCCTGAGAGGCTCACAGGCTCTTCCAAAGAAGGAGGAGGATTGTTAAGGGGTACAAGGGTCTCTGCAGGCCCACCCACCACAGAGCAGAGGGTCATGGACACATCTCCTGTCTTCAAACTGAAGTATGGAAACAGAGTCCCAGGGGAGGAAGTTAGAGAGAAGGAGAACATGTGGGAGCCATCAGTCATGTTGTAGAAGGAGACATCCCCTTCCTTGAGGTCCAGGAAAACCCCTACCCTGTGAGGAATTTTCCTAAGGGATTTGTGAGACTTAGTAGTGAGGGCACAGAGACTATCACCATACTTCCCCACAGCCCAGAACCCCTTTTCTGGGGACTCCTGGTACCAGCCCCTCCTCTGCACACCTCTGCTACAGACCCCCAGAGCCCACTCACTTTTATCTGCATTTGTGATCTCCACCTCCCAGTAACAGCACCCTTGTGTGATGCCGTCATGACCCAAGACGCTATAGATATCTCCTGCGACCTTAGATGTGTCCTTCCAGGTCACACTAGTCTTTTCATCAGAGACAGCAAGGCTGGGATGTGCAGACTCTGGATTCAGAGTGACAGGCACTGCAGAGAGAGTTTCCAATCATTCAAGGCCTTTTCCTGCCCCATAACAAAGCACACAACCATCATCCCACCCCAGACACCTAGCTGCATGCAGGGAGGGCTAAGCCTCCTGAGATAAGAGCCTTCTGGCTCAAGCAGACAGCCCTCCAACCAGAAGAAGTAAGCATAAGACTGATCTGGGGGTTAGACATGTCACAGGGCACTTGAGGGCCAGACTGGACTCCAAGGACTGAAGGACATCCATTTATATCCAATATCAGTCACACCCATCAATCCCAGCTCGGTGACTTTCACTGCCCCATCCGAGCCCACCATCATTGATGGGGCCAGCATCTGTATCATCACAGCAAGCTGAAGGAGATGTCAGCAGCCATGGGGCAGCAGTAGAAGCACCCAGAAAGAACTTGAAGTAACTCACAGGCCTGGAACTTCTCCTTCCGCCAATCTACAAGAAAACCACATTTCACAAATGTGAACAACAAATCAGAGATTTGAGGAGACTGTACAGACCAGTGTTCTATCTTCTGAAATACACTGATGCAAGAGTTACAGGGAAAAATCTTTGGGAAACGTTCACCTGACGAATTTATCTTACACACACACACACACACACACACACACAGCCATCCTGCTACAATCTTCCCAGGAAAGCCAAGTCATAAAGATTAACACCACTGAGAGACTGGATACTGACCCAAAAAGAAGGCTCTTTGCACAGATTTCACTATCAAATCATGCTTCTTCAATCCCTAGCCACAAATCCTAAAAGCTAGGTTTCATTGAGAAAGAACTGAGGAGATCAAAATTTCTGAGGCATCCATTTACTAATAAAGGACTGACTGAGCTGAACCTGTAGGTTGACTCGAAGCCATGGCAGAGACAATACAACTGGGCGGAGCTGCACTTGGAGGATGACTATCAGCCATGGGTGAGGAGAACTCAGGATATGGCTTCAGAGAAATCTTGCCCAGTCAAGAGGCAATGGAGAGGTTTCAAGGAAAGGAGAGAGAGAAGTTCAAAGCAGGAAAAACATACATCCAGTGAGAGGACAGAAAGTAATGAATTTGCTTCCCCGTTTCATGGGGCATTGGGAGGAAAAACATCCCTATATGTAAGGGGAAACCCAAAAATATTGGGTCTAGTCATCTGCTCCTCCCTATATCACCCAGAGAGATCCAAAACACCAGGAGACACCTCACGTGGTTGGCGCACAAATATGGCTGTGTATATGCTCCAGAAAGTGTGAATATGTTTTGGCAGAGAGAACTTTACAGATGTGATTAAGATTAAGGAACTGGAGATAGGGTTGGGGCGGGGCGGGGAAGAGCAATGCCTCCAAACACCTAGATGGATCCCCAAACTCAATTATCCTAAGGACCATATCAAGGTACCCTCTAGAGGGTGAGGTCCCGAAATGATCGAGAGGAGAGCACAGGGACTCCCTCCCCCAGTGACACAAGGCATAAACTCCTCTGACCTTCATACTCCCTTTTCAGAAGAAGAAAGGAAGCTAACTGATCAAAGCAAAACGTATATATGTCATAAGACCCTGAGAAGTCTGCATTGAGAAAGCTGTTACCTCCAATAGGGCAGAGACTACAGAACAAAATTAGAGCACTTATAAAAATAAAAACAGGACATTTTCTTGAACATTTGGTGAAAACAGGTGACCATTAATCTCACTCATACAGGTTTATTCAGATAAAGGGGTATATCCAGCTCTGTTGATTTGCTTATACAAACAGATCACATGAAGTGGGCTGACCCATGTCACCTTTTGAGAAAAGGGAACTTTACTTGTTCATCATCAAGACATTAGTTGACAGCCAGCTCCACATTTCTATGACAATTGACACAGATTAGCAAAGAAGAAGAGAAATCAGGAGGAGGAGAAGAAGGAAGAGGAGAAAGGGAGTTGGCATTCCATTCTGAGACTCTATGATGCATTCAGAGCTATGCTATGCACTTCAGTGGTTCAAGTGCATTCTTCATTTCATTTCCACAGCAAGTCTTTCATTATAAATTATTCTTCCAATTTCATGAATAAGATGAGATCAGACATTTGTTCACCTCACACTATGAGCCCATCAATATGAAAATATTGATTCCACTACTGTAAGGGTGTCTGTCCTTATAAAAAAGAAGGTATACAAGGTATACTTTAAAACACATGCATTTCGGGACGCCTGGGTGGCTCAGTCAGTTAAGCATCAGCCTTTGGCTCAGGTCATGATCCCAGGGTCCTGGGATCTAGTGCTGCATCCAGCTCCCTGTTCAGCAGGGAGCCTGCTTCTCCCTCTCCCACTCCCCCTGCTTGTGCTCCCTCCCTCTCTCTGACAAATAATAAAATCTTAAAAAATATATAAATAAGTAAAAAATAAATAAAACACATGAATTTCAATCCAGCAGAGAAGGAAGTGATGCTAAAAGAAGACTATTTAATTCTCATTTTTAACAAATAAATCCCAAGAATCAGAGTGGCTCTCTAAGGAGTTTTCTTCACACATCTGGTCCCCTAGACTCTTGTACCCCTGGCTCCCCCTTCTCTGCTCTCACAGTCTATATCCCTGATCATAAATAGAAACAGCCAGGACAGGAAAGCACATGTTACACAGGTTCAAAGGGTCCAAATTCTTAACCAACCCCAATGCTAACGGGTTCTCTGGATAACCTATCATTTCATTAGGATCCCCTGGATCACATTCCTGCCCCGACTACTACTAGAAGGTTGAGATGGTCTCCTTATTAGAAGCAAACCCAGCCAGAAAATTACTTCAAAATAGCTTAAAATAGATGTAAGTCTTTTCAGAAATCTCTCAAACTGTTGTCAAGGAGTTTATTACTTTTCATGCACCCAAATAACTTGTACATCCTCTGTGTACTTCCTACTCGAACCACCATGGCTGTGATTTGTGGTCTCTCTTCCACCACTCTGAGCCACCCAAAGTCTCTCCCAGAAGAATCACAAGCTCTCTACCCTCCTTCTCATCTCCTCCTCTCGTCCCCAACCAACTTTTCCTTCCCTGATTCACTCCCAACTTTTCTCTGGTAAACAATTTTCACTCCTCCGGGTTTTTCCTGTTGAAATCCTCACACATTGACTCTAATAAACCCAACCATTATTGAGCCCATCAGGTAAATCCTGAATTCTCCTAAAAGGAGACATTATGGTTGTGAACAATTATAAGGAACTGTCCTTTAAAGAAAATTTAATTTCTTAACTCTGTAACACAAACATATACATAGGATTTTGTATATAATTGCAGGTAGCTCACAAACGCACTACCAGGACTCCATAAACATCCTGGAGGCTCTGGATTTCAGATTCAGAACAGCTGACCTAAAGAAACTACTTCACAGCAACCACACAGGTTTAGAGGAAAAAACTCAACTTGGACAAGGAGTCAGAACATGAGGAAGCAAAATGAAGACCAACATTCCAGAGAAACAGCAAAAAACAGGAAAACCAAAACTAGATCCGGGGCGCCTGGGTGGCTCAGTTGGTTAAAGCGACTGCCTTCGGCTCAGGTCACGATCCTGGAGTCCCTGGATCAAGTCCCGCATCGGGCTCCCTGCTCGGCAGGGAGTCTGCTTCTCCCTCTGACCCTCCTCCCTCTCATGTGCTTGCTCTCTCTCATTCTCTCTCTCTCAAATAAATAAATAAAATCTTTAAAAAAAAAAAACTAGATCCAAAAAAATGTAGGAATTTCAGGGTAAAATGTATTCAGAAGCAAGGATCCCCTTAGAAAGACCTGAGTCCTAAGCAGGTGAGCATGATTTCTGAAATCTTCTAGAGACAGCAAATTCTGATCTACACAGTCAATGCCATGGTCCAACTGTCCTTACAAATGACCACTCTGTTGTCACTGCACCAACAAAACTATCAGCTGAACAAGGGGTGTTCAGAGGGTGTTGCCAACTCTAACAGCAACCTACAGTAGAGGATTGGTCAGAATAGAGGCAGATCTGTGTTCCCAGGGACAATCACTGCAGTCTTCAGAAGGAGACAACAAATGAGACAAGGAGTACGGGGACACCAACCCCATCCTGGTGTGGGGTCCACTGACAGAGAAGTGGGCACAGCTGAGGCTGGGGAGGTAAGACCACGGGAAACGGAGTCACTTACCTGCATACAGTTGAGCCTTCTTCAAGGCTGAAAGGGAACACACCCTGGTGAGACATGAGCCAGAACGAGTCAGCTTAGCATTGATCTACCAGCCCTTGCCTCCCCTCTGTGCTGCAGGTGATACTACCAACAGAGTGAGGAGAGAGGCTGGAGAGGAGATCCCTCCTGCCATGTGCAGACAGCAGGGTGTTGTGGGAAATTCCCTGGACCACAGGTCAGAGAGCCCACATTGCCACCTGAGTTCCACCCCTGCCTGCTGATGCTATGTGACCCTTGCCAAGTTAGTGTCCTGAGCCTTACAACCCTCAAACAAACAAAAAAAAAAACTCAAAAATTTTTATTCTATCTGCTCTCAATTTTGCTTTAATAGGTCAAAAATTATACAATGGATGAAAATATTTTAGGGAATTAAATATACATTATTCCATAAATGTAGGAAATCATTATTACATCCAATGTTTTCCAGCAAAGAGATATTTGGGAAATAACACAAAAGGGGAGATGAATTTAGGATGGGATGTTAGCTGAGCTCTAGGGTAAAAGTGGCCAAACTTTCTCAGAAAACACATCACTAATCTGGACAACTGACAGCTCACCCCACCACATTCCCACCCATGATCTGCCCAGTCCTCTAACACTTTATGATCAGCACCTCCAGGAACTGGAGAGAAAAGATTCTGCCTGGATGGTGTTATGTGGAAGGATCATGCTCCTAAACGTAATGACCCCATTTATTTATATAGCTTCTTTAACAAAATCTCAGAGCATCCAGCTTGACTGAGAACCAGTTGCATTGAAGGCTAAAAAGCTAGAAATGGGGCAGGCAGATCAGCATTAGAATAAAGCCAAGATGCATGATATACTCCAGGGACCCACATAATCCCCAGGTTCCCAAGCACTGGGTGGGAACAACTGCCCACATGGGGAAAGCCCATGGAGCAGTGTTCAGCCTCCCACCAGCTTCCACTTCTGCCCCAGGGAAGGGTCCACATGTCTCTGCCTGAAACAAGGAGAGGGGACACCTTGGCTTAGTGGGGGCAAGAGACCCAAGGACATCTGGACAGTCACTCACCAGCCCAGTAAACTCATTTCCTCCAGTCTGAAAGGCAACACAGGAAACAGGTGAGCTGAGAAGAGAATGTCTCCTACAAAGGAGACACAGAAACTTCTGGGAAAAGGACACAACTTACCAAGATCTGCTTGGAGTTCATCTGAAAGAAAGTGAAAAATAAGCATGAATTCCCATCACTAAGAACAGCAAAGACTGCACCTGGAAAGCCCACGAGAGGACCTCTCCATTTCCTAGAAGATCTACCTCCAGACCCCTGGAGCCTCCACAGCCCCAGCTGTCGTCTCGGTCCTCCTCAGCCACCTGCTCCAGGCCAAGGGCCCTGCTGTCCGCTTGTCCTCCACACCAGCTGCCACACTGGCCTACCATGACCCCTGTCCTGCATTACCTCTGGCCTTCAGTGCCTCCTCCTTTGTCAGCTGGTCCTCCTCCTTGTCCCTCTGCAGTTTCTCCCATTCCTGTATCTCCCGGTGCTTTGCAGTATGCTCTCTCATGATGTAAAAGGCAGCCCCCAGGAGTAGGAACATCAGCACAGTCAGGATCACCATGAAAGCCAGCTTCCAAGGAGAACTCCGGGGGAAGAAGGGTTCTGTGCCAGCCAGACACCCCATCAGGGTCACAGCCCAGGACAGCCCAACCCAGCACACCCAGGGACCCCCAACCAGACCATCCCGCCCTTCTGGGAATGGGAAGCAGTACTGACCTGGGATGAAAATGGCCACCTCCTTCTCCTGGCCCAGGATGGGGTTGAGGACTGAGCAGGTCACATTCCCTGAAGAGCTGTGCCTCACCACCAGAGTGGCCTCCATGGTGAACAGCCCTTCAGCATCTTGGGCTTGGGTCTCAGAGAATGTCAGGAACTTCTCTCCACTGACAGCTCTCCACTGCACCTGGGGCTTTGGGAACCACCCTGAGGCCATGCACACAACTCGGACCCCTGTGATGTGCACTTGAGGGGCAGAGCCCACACCTGCAAAAGAGAAGCTGCAGAGCACAGGGAGGCTACCCAGACCCCAGTGATGCCAGCAGAGTCTTCCTGTGCACAACTCCAGGGACAGCATTACATTCCGGGGTTCCCTGGGGGAGTGGTTCCTGCAAGGATTAAAGTAAAGGGTCCTGCCAAGGAGAACAGAAGGAAAGCTCAGGGGAAACTGCAGCAGGCACAGAGGGTGGGACTCTTCTCCCCAACCATGAGGGTGGAGATCCATCACCCAGAGTGACAGAAGGAGGAATTTGGTCCCAGGTTCCATCCTTCTCTGCTCTTCTCACCTCACACACTCTCCAGGGCATCTGCTTGCACACCCACTGCCACTTGGTACATTACTTGCATCCTTGATAACCCTACTAACCTCCTGAGCTCCCTCCCTATGATCCACATCCCTGGGGTTAGCTCTGCCAGGATTGCTCATAGATGCTTCAAACTCAAATCCTGAACTGACTGATATTTGGCCCCATCTGTGATAGGCTGATGATGAAAATATTCCCAATCCTTCAGCCTTCTTTACATACAGCTCATCCTCACCACATATTTTTACTGCCTTCACACCCTGCCTCTGGGCTCCATTGTGTGACTTGACTCAGCCACTGTTAGTTCAGGGAATGTGTCTCTAGCAGAGGTTGGAAACTGCTTGTACCATTGCCTCACCCTCTGCCACGGGAGGGGCATGCTCAGGCTAGCACAGCCTTTCCAGCTGCAGTTGTCCTAGACCAGCCAACAGCCAGCTGAACAACACCCATGTGAGCAAACCCAGCCAAGGCCCACTGTCAGAGCAAAATATATTAAAAGTAAGAGGCTGGGGTGCCTGGGTGGCTCAGTCGGTTAAGTGTCTGCCCTCGGCTCAGGTCATGATCCCAGGGTCCTGGGATCGAGCTCCCTGTCGGGCTCCCTGCTGGGTCCCCCTACCCCCCGCTTGTGATCTCTCTCTCTCTCTGTGTCAAATAAATAAATAAATAAATAAATAAATAAATAAATAAATAAATAAATAAATAAATAAATAAAAATATTTTAAAAATAAAAATAAAAGTAAGAGGCTTATTGTCCCTGTTGAAAATGAGAGCCCCTTCCCATCCTTTTCTTATAGCATTTACTTGAGGAAACTTGTGATTGTGGGTGTTTTCTCCCCTCTTTGAAATGTATATAAGCCCTTTGGAGGGGAAAAAAAACAGGCCTTTTGCCAGCTTTGTGATCCAGGAATGTCTTTCTCAAGGACCTGGGAGCCCTCTCTTTAAACTGTTCACACCAAGGAGGACAGCACCTCTCTCTTCCGCTTCCTGTGCCAGGGAAGGAGCCTAACCTCAGTGGGCACCAGGATCCACGTGTAAGACCACCTCCTGTCATGAAGATGGGAGAATTTGTAAAAATAAACTGCTTTAACTTTGGTTTGTCTGGGAAACTCTTCATCTCTCCTTCTATTCTGAATGATCCCCTTGCTGGATAGAGTTTTCTTGGCTCCGGATTTTTGTCCTTTCAGCACTTTGAATATATCACACTACTCCATTCTAGCCTGCAGAGTTTCTGTTGAAATTCCACTAATATGTGGAATGTTGAATCACTATATTGCACTCCTGAAATGAATATAACTCTATATGTTAACTACACTGGAAATATTTTTTTTTTATTTTTAAGGTAGGAGAATTTGGTTTTCCTCAGAATAAAGCCAATTAGCTAACATAGATGGTCACCCCAATTTCCAAGTAAATATAGAGTGCACCACCTAGGACAAAAGGTGCCAGCAAGTCCACCTGCTTGAGGGCTCATAACTGCTGATCCTGAAAACATGTATGGAATGAGTTGTGTCTGCATGGCTATGGAAAAGATGAGATTTCTTCTGTTTTTGCATTTCTTGATAGAATCTCTGTGATGCACATCACATTCTAGTTAATGCAAATTTAATAATAAAAAGGATTTCTTTTCCTACTATCTTTGAGAAGAGGATTTCTAGGTTGGAAGATTATGTTTTTAATTATATTTCCCCTACATGACCGAAGATGTATGAGTAAGCCCTGTTAAGATTAGCTGAATACACCCCAGATGAGCTGAACTCCCTTTATGCCCAAATACACGCTTGTTGCTATAGGCCACTGAGATTTCTATGTCTGTGTTACACAACATTATGACAGCAATTGGCAACTTACACATAATATCAATATTTCTACTACTAAACAACCAACTGCCAAAAAAAACTGAGCCTCTGCTGTCCCTTCTCTCCACTCCTCCAAACTCTCCTTGTCCCAAATCTCCTCACGCAGCTGGGTCTACTTTCCAAAACTCTCTGATGCTGGAGAGCTCCTTTCCCACCCCACTGCCACTACATGAATTCAGGTGGCCATCCTCTCTACCCCATAACTACATCCAGGCCTCCAGTCTTGCTCACCTTCCATACACCCTCCATAAAGCTGCCAAAGGAAACCTGCCCACACACATCTCCCTCCACCACTCTGTTTAAAATTCCCTCGGCTCTGCATCCAAACTGCACAACACAGCACATGAAGTCTTTGATGGTCTGGTATCACCACCACCCCCCAAACAAAACTCCTGTCTACTTCCTCCCCAATCCCACCATCTGTACCCATCAGGAAGGACATGCTCCAGCTCCAGGACTATTTGGTTAACTGTTCATACCACAATCACCATGCTATCTATGCCCCACATAGATCCATCAACCAGAAGGCTATTTCAGAACACTGGTTCACTCAAATGCCTGCTCAAGTGTGCACTCCTCATGGACTCTTCCTGATCAATCTCTTCTCCGTGCACCTGGGCCAGGAACACCTCTTTATTCTGGATAGTCACCTCTTACCACCCTCCCATTCACCTCCATCACCAACCATGTGGCCTCCCTCTCTGCCCAGACTCACCTGCCACACTCCTACCTCAGGTGTCTCACATGGGTGTTCCTCTGCTTGGAACTCTCACCGCCAAAATATTTATTTAGCTAAATCACTACTTACCACCATCTAACATCGTCTATCACCTATCTATTTGCTTATTTACTGTCTCTAGAATATAAACTCTGCAGGGCAGGGATTTTTGTTTGTTACACTGATGTATCCAGGTGCAGAGAACAGTAGCTCGCACATACTAGGGGTTCCATATATCTGTACTGAATAAATGAATGAGTGAAAGACCCTCCTTTCCCTCATCTATAAATTGAGGGCATATTTACTTAGACCCTGAGGTTGCTCCCAATTCCAATACTGCAGGTGTCTAAATATAGATCAGCAACCCACCTGCCACCTTCAGTTCCAAACCAGCCTCTTCATAGAAGCTTCCCTTTCTGAAAAAACAGGTATACAGCCCATTGTCAAAAGCCTGGACATCGTGGATGCGCACAGCAGCCTCCCCCCGGGTGAGGAAGTCCTTCACCAGTGAGGTCCGCCCTGTGTACTGGGCCAACTGTTCCTCTCTCTGCTCCTGCTGGTTTTGATAGATGAACACTGCTTCTGAGAACTTGGAGCGGAACCACCGCAGCTCCATGTTCTCCACACTCATGGCCGGGGACACACGACATGGCAGCGTGATGCTCCCACCCAGCACTGCCACAATGGGGTCCGAGGAGCCAATCACCACGAACTCCTCTGTGGACAGAGACATAGGAGTGAGAAAGCTGGAGACATGAAGGACAGGGGCAGGGAACACACTGTCAGGTGGGAGGCCCTGACCTGAGGGGCTCAGCTGTGACCACTCTGAATCAGGGCAAGATCCTCAACCACAACTTTGCGACCCAGAAATGGTGTCAAAGAGATGCCCTCAGCAGCTGTGCTCCTGGCTCCAGGTCTTCCATGAAGGACTCTCTAACTCAGTGGTTCTGAGTTAGGGGCATCACGGGCATCACAATCACAATCACCAGGAAGGCTTGAGAAACACAGACCGCTGGGCTCCACCCCCAGAGCTCCTGGTTCAGTAGGTCTGGGGTGGGTCCAAGAAAGTGCATATCTGAGGAGGTAGCAGGGATGTGATACTGATGTGCCAGGGACCACACTCTGACATCCACAGCTCTAACCTGCCTCCTCTTAGGACAGGACTAAAAACCGACCAAACAGCACACCTGTGGCCTAGGTGGGACCTCTCGGCTCATTGGGCCACACCCAGGAACTTCCCAACACCCGCTCCTAATTTTATTATTTCTGCCCATATCTTTGTCCTCTGCTGAATTACTTTATAAGACATAAAGTCCTCATTAGACAACTGTCATGGTCCCCTGTCCTTATTTTACAGTTCTGGGATTCTTCTTAAATGTTTAATTTCAACTAGCAGTTGGGGGATCACCAGAATCTTTCTAGAACCAGGGCCTCCACCAATAACCATCCGTCGTGATGGAGACACCAGCAGAACTCCCGGGGGCTCTCACCCACCCCAAGGAGACACAGGAAGGGGGAGGGGACACACTCACCTGCAGACCCCCCAGCAAGCAGCTGGAAGAAGAAAAGCAGGGAGGGGAGATGGGAGAGCAAAGAGCCCCTGCAGCAATCCTCCATTTCCTCAGAGCTGGGGAGACACAGGGCAGGAGGCAGGTGAACACCTCCAGAGAGGAGGCAGGGCCAGCCCACAGCTCTGGGCCTCAGAGCAGACAGCAAGGCTCAGGGCTGGCAACGGTCCCCAGCAGGAGCACAGCCTTTCCTACTGCTCATCATGCTGGTGGGGGCCCCCACAACCTTAACACCAAGAAATCCCTCCCAGCCCTTTGGAAACTTTCCCAGCCTGCTCTGCCCACAGGACCAGACCTTCCCGCCTCAGCACAGGGGACTCCTCCATGTCTGCATCGTTCACAGGCCACCACAGGGACACAGGGCCCAGACTCAGGTCCCTCCCCATGAAGGACACACCAGCTCCTGCGTGCTGTTCTTCTGCTGCCCCCTAATTATGACCAGGGAATCACTGAGAAGCATGAGAGTCAGACTGTGTCCTCCTCGAGGACACTGTGGCTCCCACCACACGCACCCTGTCCTCCGGTCCTTTGCTGGGTGAGTTCACCTGAATTTCAGGTCCCTCCCTTCCCCAGCTCTTTCCTGCTCAGGACCAAGGACCTCTCCTTGCTCATAGCTGAGGCCCAGACAATTCCCCATGAAAGGTTAATCCTCATCTTCTCTATCTTTGAGGAGTTTCCGCCTCAGGATAAAGGATCCCAGCAGAGCAGGAACAGCAGAGGATAAAATGAGCTCTGGTCAGAAAGAAGGGCTTCAAACCACTTACTGCTGGGTAGGGCAGCCGATGGTCCTGGGAAGGACAGATTCTGGGGCTGACTGCCGATGTCTCCTCCAGATTCGGCTGCTTCCTGTGGGATCACCTGAGGCAAGTTTCTTGAGCTGCTCTGCCTCAGTTCCTCAATGCAGATGGTAACAGGCTCTCACTCCAAGGTATAAGGAGAATCCTATGAATTTATGTATGGAGAGTCAGTGCCTGTCATTAGAACAGTGCCTGGTCCTAGGAATGCTACAGAGATGTCATTAAATAAGTGAATAAAGTGCAGCCCTCCCTGTAGTTGTCCCGGGTCCTCTCAGAGCCTCATTTTTATCCAGCACCACCACCCCAGCCCCACCACAACTTCAGCCTCCTCCTCCCAGCCAGCTGCTCCCAGCTTTCCTCCTCTTGTCCAACAAGTGTCTTCAGAACCCACTCACCTGCTTGAAAACCTGGGACTTCATAAGTGTCTCTAACTTAGCTGTGCAAGATCTCAGCCAACCCCAAATCTGCTCTCAGAAATTGCACCTGCAGTTCGCTGCTCGAGCCCCACACCGTGCTTCCAGATCCAACCCTGGTGCTACAGGCTCCTCTTGTCTGAGAGGCAAGTGGTTCCCAGGAGAGCAGAGAAGCAGAGCCTGAGACAGGTTGCAGGGCCCTGTCCCGAAACAGGGACCTGGGGCACTCAGCACTCCCAGACAGAAGAATCCACCTTGTGCTGACTCCGTCCACCATTTGAAAGTGAAAGCTTACAACAAGAAATCACAGCAGACTCTGCTCTGCCCTCTGGACGGTGCACCCTAGTTATCAGGAAGGAAACAGCATGATCAGAGCCATGAAATAGGGCAGGGACAGGTACACTGACCCACTCTGCAGGAGGACACACAAGACACAGACTCAGCAATCCTTTATTGAACAACTTCTACTCTCCAGGTTGGCTAGTTTCTAGACCAGAAGCAGGGAATGTGTGTGGCAGACAAGACTAATACCTCACCCTTTGCATGGGACTGTTCACTACCAAAATATTCTATGTCAGTTTCTGAATCCTAATGGCAAGAGTCTTTGAAAAGCCCTCAGTGTAGCTGCTTTGCTTTTCTTCATCAGGAGATGACCCAGGTGCTTCCCATAGCTTGGCAACAGAGGGGTTAAGACTGAGCATCAGGTTCGCTCCAGGACTCTGGCCCTGCCCCAGCTGAATGGACAGCATCTTATGGCTTCTTAGTACTTTACTATCACACATGGCCTGGGTACACCATTCAGCCCCTCCCTGCCAGGCCGCAGTGTGCACCAGGAAAGGCAGATTCTATGGTCTCTGAAGGAAAACCATGGAGCACTGGACCTACCTCTCCAGCCCCTCCCTTCCTGCAGCTCCCCATCTCAGTAAAGGACACCTGGGTTCACCCAGTTATGTCTGCCTGAAACTGGAGGGTCATTCCTGACACACCACTTTCCCACCCATCTACTTCCAATGTACCAGAAAGTTCAAGACTTTCCTTGAATCCATATCCATGGCCACCTTCTAGCTCCCCACCAACCTCACTTCCCCCTCACCCAGGCACAGTGTCCCTGCTTCCCCATGAATGTCCCCTGACCACCTCCAGCCTCTCCTCCTCAAGTTCATTTTCTCTCCAAAGTCATGACCCTCTCAAGTCAGCTTATGTCAGCTCTGCCTCATCTCTTCCAGGGACCCCCCTGCTATACCTCTTGTCTGTGGCTCCCAGGCCCCTGCTTCCTCTCAACCTCATTCCACTGCTCCCAGTGCTCCCTCACTGGCCTGGGTGAGCTCCTCCAGTTCATGGCACTTTCCCAGCCTCCGGCTATCTCATAAACTACTGGATGTTCCTACTCTCTCTCTAGTCCCCCAGATTCCGTCCGCACTGTTCCCATCTATCCTAAAGTGACCTTCCTCCAAGGGGTCTTCGCCAACCTGCTCATCCCCATATGTGCCCCAGACACGTGCTTATTAGGGTTTTAGTGGCACCCTGTTCTCCTCCACAGCCCTGACACGCGATCTTCTATGGAATGTCTGTGGCATCCACAAAGGGAGGCACTGTGTGCCCTGTTCACATGTCCAGCACACAGTAAACACTTAGGAAACTTTGTTTGAGCTCACGTGCAGAGGACTCACTTCAGCAGCACATTGGCTACTCAGCTCTGTCCAAATTCGGAAAACACTTCAGTCCACTGAGAAACACGAAGACTGTTAACTCTGACCTAAACAAGTCAGCCCCTGGGTGGATACAACACCTCCACCATCTTCCCCGCTCTTTCTTTCTTCCTACCCAAACCCATATGCATCTCTGAAACATCACTGGGATAGAAACATCAGACTCAACCACCTTGTTTGCTCCCTCAAACCGGCCCAGTGCTCAGGTGTTCGTCTACTAAGTGACAGTCATCTGCTAAGTGACAGGTGTTAAGACACTAGTTTGGGCACCTCCCTGGTGCCGCTTCTGTAGAGTTGTCATTACTGTCTTCATTCTGCAGGTGAGGAAACCAATCTCTCAGAGTTCCACAACTACACACCCAGCAGAGCCTCTCCCAGCCTGTGTTCACTCTTGATTGTTCTGAATGATCCACTAAATTTTTTTCATGGAGCAAGGACTGACTGACTCATTGGTGCCTGGGAGTGATTGCTTTCAGCCCAGATGGCTGGTCTAAGATATTAAAACTCTGGGTAGGGGCGCCTGGGTGGTTCAGTCAGTTAAGCTTCCAACTCCGCTCAGGTCAGGATCTCAGGGTCCTGGGATCAAGACCAGTGTTGGACTCCCCACTGGGCGCTGAGTCTGCTTGTCATTCTCCTTCCCTGTCTGCCCCTCCCCGACTGCCCGTCTCCCAGCCCCCCACTCAAATAAATAAATAAATAAAATTTAAAAATAAAATAAAAAATAAAACTCTGGGCAAACGCAGGACATCTGGATATACCTGAACACATCCCACGCTGTCATCCCCAAAGGTTTATTTCTGCTAATATCTACTTAGACATGGGAATATTGGGAAAATCCATCTTAATTGAAAAATAATGAATGAACAAGGACCAATATTAGCCGCCAGGTCCACCCCCACTGCCACCACCTTCCCCTGCCCAATGGGGAGACTCCTCAAAGCCTGAGAGACATTAGGGGAGTTTTGTGAAAAGTCAGAGGGAAGAAAACCAAATTTCAATGAGTACTTACTAAGTGCCAGGATCTGGGTTACACAACTTGTATTTATGACACTTCATTCTCACACATGCAACAGAGATGAAGGAGGACATGAGTCCTGCCATCTAGTAACCTTTCATCCAGGAACTTCCTAGTGGAGAGAGGGCTGGAGCTGCAGGGACATTGCCCCCCACACCCTTGCACACCCCAGTCCTCAAGCCCAGCCCAGCCCCCAGCTCCACACAGCTCCGGGTGAAAGAGGAGCAGGAA